AGCGGGCAGAGCTTTCCACAGTGCAATCACTCTGTTACCAAAGTAAAAAACTTGCAGAATGGTACTACCGACAAATACAAGGGAGTCTCCCTTGTCTTTGCCGGTAGTACCATTCTGCCTATATCATACGCCGTTGTGCGGCTGCTGGTTGGGCTCGAGAGGGAGCCCGTAAGGCACAAGGAAACGAGTGAGTTCCGTAAGAGCGATCGGTGAGTGCCCTTCCACCATTGAAAAAACTTGCGTCCATCAATCTGAGCTTTCCCTGCGGATAGTTTTAGGAGCTGACCGCGAAGTGTGCGTGTTAGTCTGAGTGAGAAATGCGCTGTGCACCCCAAACGGGACACGTGGTAGATGCGCTGGACCAACACGCAGGTCATATCAGATTCTGGCAGGCGTTATTGGAACGCACAATATAACAAATGCCAGCATTTCTGGGTAAGGTGAGGGACCCGGTTGTCGTCAGACCTCGCGCATACTGGGACCCCTGCCGCCCCCTTGTTGTTGTTGGTTAAAATCCTGGTAATTGCTGTGTGGATCAGGGGATATGGGGTGGGACGCCAAGTTGAGGGCTCAGGCGTGTCGTCCACCTGCGTCTTTCCGCGCCTCCGCTCTTTTTGACTCTCTTGACAGCGGGCACAGGTGAGTGAGGAGGAGAGGCTGCGATAAATGCTGCACAAGTCCCCTGCCGCACACAATGATTGTCTCTGAGAGCAGTCGGCGCCCGACTCCCACTCTTTGAAACTGTCTAGTCAGAAAGTCCTGGATCCATACAAGGAGGCTTCAGCGAACTCCTACGCTACGCATTTGGTGAGCCACGCTCTCAACGGCCTCTTGAAGTCGATGTAAATAGGGAGTATTCTATTGCCTGCACTAGCCGCTTTGGCCCAGTGTTCAAGTGAAAAGAACAGATCCCTAAGACAGGACCTACTATCGCGAAAGCCGTGTTGGACATCGAAAGGAGGGCTATTCTACTCGAGAAACGGCATCAATGCTGTCTTAATTCTTTTTTCCATGATTTCGCAACAAAAAGCGGTAAAACTCACCGGCTTGTAGTTATTCGGAGGTGCTCGACTTAAAATCTTATATAGCGGAGTGGTAGCTATGGGCTGAGTAGTTACCCAGTAGCAAATGACTCCAAGATGGGCATTGGTTGAGTGAGTCCGAGGCTGCATTCGGCACTCGATGTCTCGTACCCCAACAACACACTAAACGACCCCAATGTGCAGTAGTGCTGCGTATTGCGCAAGACGAAGAAGCGGGAGGAGCTCAGGGGTGCTTACATTGGATGGCAATGAGTTGTCTCACAGAGGAGAAGACAACCGTCGAAGTGATTTCCAACGGAAAGGGGACAACTGACTGGAGCACTCCGATTGAGTTCATGGACGGCAAGAAAATTAAGTTTTCTAAAAATGGGACCCGAAAAGAAGGAAGTACTTGGTAGTCTCCTCACACAATCCAGTCTATAGGCAGATGGCCAGAAAATCGCGAACAACGAGTAAGTCAGTGCCTCAGATCGGAAGTAGGGCATTAGTAACGAAATGACAGATTGACCGTCGTGATCGACGATGTCCACCGCTGCAGAGTAGGCGCAGTGACGGTGACTTGCACGTCAATTAGTTTATGATGATAGTGGACTTGCACAGCATCTTACGCATCCTCTCCCCTCCTCTCCCACCTGGGCCCGGTGTCATAATAGAGTCTAGACAACCGGGGTCATGAGACGGCGCAGATGGCCGGCGCAACGTGAGCTTGCGCCCAGGCCTGCGGACAGGGGGCAGAAGGTGGGAACAGGGGAGAGCGGTATTCCCAAGGTTCAGGTCCGAGGTAAGACAGTGATGATGGGCAGCCGTGTGGCAGTTTGCAGAAGTGGGAGATGCAAGCAGCGAAGAGCTCCAAAATCAGCACAAATAGGCTTCTGAACCGTGAGGTGGGAGACTGAATGATGGTACGCATGTCTCAAATGAAATGTACGGTGAATGATCGACTCCCTGCAGAAGATATTTCATATTTCAATCGCGAAACAACCGGAGCTGGTTAACAGGGTCTATAATGGTCAGGCCTGTGTGTATGTGGTGACGGCACCATTGGCATCTACGTAACCGTCCCTCTGTCATAGTTTCAGGGCAGCGTCCATCATATGTTACCAAATACTCATCGTCTTCTTACACCACGTTGAGTCTTCAAGTTCGGTCGTCATATTGCGAACATTGGCGACTTGATACGTCCACCAATCATGACGAATAACATCGAAAAATCAACCAACGACGGGCATCAAGACTTCTCTGACTTGCCAGGAACGAAGGCGCCCTGTAAATTTGGTGCAGGGACGTCCAGTTCAGTTTGTTCCAACTATTATCCTGCAACCTCTACAGAACAAAATTCTACTTGCGGAATAGCATTACCGACAGAGACAAGGAGGACTGAAATGGCCACTTCTGGCTTATTAGCTGTCGTAAGCCAGCCATACCCGAACCCAAAGTGTGTAACACCTGGGGCTCAATCCCTCAGCCGACAGGACAACGAGCCCTTGGCTCACTGGTTGGAACATTAGACTTCTGACCAATAGGTCGCGGAGTCGAGCCCCAGGTGTTGCACACCTCGAGGTTGCGTATGACTGGCTGACGACGACTAATAAGCCAGAAATGGACATTCCAGTCTCCCTTGTCTTTGTCGGTAGTGTTATTCTGCTTATATTACGAGCGCCGTTGTGCAGCTGCTGGCGGGGTTCGAGAGGGGGCTCAAAGGCGCAATGGGATGAGTTCTGTAGCGCGGTCGGCGAGTATCCCTCTACGATCTACTTGCGTCATACTTCTTGATCTCGACTCGGGACTTGACTTGTTTTTTTCACGACGTGAGCTATTGCTCTGACAAGGTCATTGACCGAGGCGAAGGAAAATTCAGCATACATTTGTAGGTCTTGCTCCGAGTACTTGAATTTCAAAGAACTTTTGGATAACAGAAGAATGAACTTGAGATGAAGGATCCCCAAGGTAAATGCCACTGTTAATATAAGAATAAAGAGACACAAACAGTCGTTTGTGGACACAGGATAACCATATGTGACTCCAGGGCATGATTTGAGAGGAAACTATATCAGAGGTCAGAGTGACAAGGAGTCTGATTGAGCGATCTGTCTACAGCGATCAGCCGGTCGTCTGAGCAAGTGATACGGCCGAGAAAAGCTGGACCAAAATCTAAAACTCGTTGTGTACTTGGTAGCAAACATTCCGTGTTCGCTGACTGACTAGGGCATGCATTTAAGCCCGCAAGACACTGCGTGGGATCCTCGAATGTATGTACACCGTCGATGGTGACTCAAAATTTCTAGTGAGCCGACGGGTCAGAGCGTCGCAATGATTGACATCGACTGCTGCTTACCAGCATCGTTCGGTTCCATACTGGACGTCATTTAAACAGATTTGCCCGAGATAGTGCACAAGCGGCTAGTGGCAGACGTTGGCAGGATTCATTGACGGGTGTCGGTCAGTGGGACCCAAATGTCATTCTACTGATGCACAGTCTGCGATCGATAACATGTGCCGCACGAGGCGGCTTACCGGTGGCGGCAAAAAGAGTGGTCAGCAGAGGCGGCCGGGCATTGTGGCGGCGGCGCGTTTAAGCAGAACTGCCCCTCAACTCCGTTGGAGTGTGCCATGATACGGTCATTCCAGTCTTCAGGTATGACTGGCGGATTACGACAGGGGGATTTCTCAACCAGGTCCTGCGACTGCGAGCGGGAGGTACACTATCTGTTTTATCTCATGAAATGTTAACTGAAATTATGAAATACGTATTCATTTGGCAACAAGTAACACATTTAAATCCTAGGTAAGATGTGGCTATGTAGCCCCACCTGATAGACAATACTGTTGGGGTTGGGGTTAGGGGTGAGGTATTAGGGCAACTACTTCTCAACCACTCAAAGTACAACCGCACATTCCCAATAGTTTTCCTTTTGCATACCATTACTTGACCTCGTCGCCTGTGCGTTACCCGGCTCCACCTGTAGAACCCCTATTACCACCGGTCCCGTATTACAGGTGGCTGGGGTTTGTTTACTTTAGGTGAGGCTACATAACCAAGGGGCCCCTTGTGCAACAACCACCCGTTTCTGCTCTTTTGTCTCTGATGATGCATTCGAGTAGGAATCCGAAACGTCAGGCTAATAAAGCTCTTGTCCCGGCAATCGTGTCTCCTTCTTCAAGACAACAGATATTGGAGGCTGGCACGACCGAAGCCGCACCTGGGCGTGCCGCCAACGCCTGGCTCGGATCCCACACTGTGGTGGGAGTGCCATAAAGGCCACATTAAAAAGGAGCCATTGCAGCCTGACTCTCAGACCGCCTCCCGTCAAGGAGGAGGTCCAAGTTACCCCGTCAGTTGGCAACCTTCCAAGCCACGGCTTTTAGCGCACCGTGATAGCTTCAAGCGCGTCAGATTGTTTATAGTGAGGAGGAAATGCGCTGAGTCGTCGACCTCACTCTCCCTTCCCATCCCCACACCCCAGACGCTGTCCGAGCCGGTCAGCAAACTGGAGTGGGAAATGGGCGCGGTGGCTGTCATGGTCGACTGACCATGACTGTGCGCGCCACGGCACGACCTGGCCCCCCATACACACAATACCAGGATTTTACACAACGGGGGTTGAGCGGCGTGTCTCTCACTTGCGTGAGAGTGCCGTGGAAGGTGCTGTTTCAGCCCCTCCCAGCCCACCAGTCCGTCATACCACACAGCACACACATAACGCGACGAACTGCGTGAACCGAGAGCAGGCGTCAACCAGCAACCTTCCTATCCACGACACTTGACGTGTCGGGATAGCCTCGGACTCAAGTCACCCGTGCAGCCGAAGCCGCATGGTGACCGAGTCGAGATGCACACTTCCCACTTGCGTGAGAGGTGGCAATTGGGTGCATGAGGTGTGTGAGTGTTGATGTCTCGTGGGGTGGTGGTGGTGGGAGGTAGGGTGTAATTGAATGTGTGGTGTGGCCGGCGGTTGTCTACCGCAGGTCGTCGTGGATGCGCATGTGACTGAATAGGCCCATGCGATGCCTGAAGGTGCGATGACTTTGTGTGCAGATGAGTCGAGTGTGGTCGGCATAAGTTGGTGCTCCAGGTACTGGTTCGCCAGTCTCTGTGCGATGGATTCGCAAGCGACCAAGCAGGCCGATGCGTGAGGTGAATGTGCGTGAACAGTGTGGGCATGTGATGTCGGCGGCGTCAGTTTCAGCTACGGAAGAGTCGGTGATGGTGGTGGTGGTGATGGGCGCGCAGGGCAATGGAGCGAGGGTGGGACTGGGCGTGGTGGATGTGCTGGGTGTCGTGGGTGTGTCGGAGTTGCGGTCAATTCCGCTCTCGTGGATGCGCATGTGGCCGAATAGGCCCATGCGATGCCTGAATGTGCGAGGGCAGTGTGGGCAGTGAAGGCGAGTGCGGTGGGTGTAGGTTGGTGCTCCAGGCACTGGTTCGCCAGTCTCTGTGCGATGGGTTCGCAAGTGACCGGCCAGGCCGATGTGAGAGGTGAAGGTGCGGTCGCAGTGAGGGCAAGTGTAGTCCTGATCCTCATTACTGGAATCGGGAGAGGTGGTGGTGCTGTCGGTTGTTGCGCAATTGAGAGTCGCCTGAGCGGCCGCCGGTGGAGCAGTGGAGGAGGAGTAGGAGGATGGAAGTGGTAGTTCAGTAGAATTGTCAGAGATAGTTGGCGGCGGAGAGGAGGAGGAAGAGGCGGGCGGAAGGACGACGGTTGATGTGGGTCGAGAGGCGCAATTGATCCGAAGATGTCCGACAAGTCCAATTCGAGCCCGGAATGTCCGTTGACATCGAGGACACGTAGGTAGCGGTTGTGCGTCGGCGTTGCGGACTGGGCGAAGTTGTGATTTGCGGGCTTCGTGTTTGACTTTGGCGGAGATGTGGTTGGTTTCGTAGATCGCAGCACCTGTCTTCACCGTCCTGCTCCAGGTCGGTCGATCGAGTGCGAGCTCTTCCCAGTTGGTCGGGCTGATTTGCAGGCGCTTCAGGGAGGACTTCAGAATGTCCTTGTATCGACGAATTTGGCCTCCTTGGCGGCGAGAGCCCGTCGCGACGTCTCCGTAGAAGAGTCGTTTGGGTAGCCGCTTGTCGTCTATGCGCACGAGGTGGCCACATTAACGCAGCTGCATTTGCCTCAGTATGGCGTAGATGCTGACGATTCCCGTCCGTTCCGGTACATCAGTGTCGGGGATTCCATCCTGCCACTTCAGCCTCAGGATGCGACGAAGACAGCTGAGGTGGAAGTGGTTCAGACGACGTGCCTGCTTTGCGTACACCGTCCAAGTCTCCGCTCCATACAGTAGCGTCGGCAGGATGACGGCCTTGTACATCTTCAGCATCGTGCTCAGTTGGAGACCATGACGATTTCAAACTGTGCTTTGGAGGCGACCGAAGGCTTGACTGGCTTTCGAGATCCTGTTGGCGACTTCGTCATCAATCTTGGTGGTGCGGGAGAGAGTACTGCCCAGGTACGGGAAGTTCTCCACCACTTGCAGTAGGGTCCCATTCACGCTGATTTGCGGCGGCGCGTTGGGGGCTGTGGCTGAGTGGGGTGGCGGTTGGTGTATCACCACCGTCTTCTGCGTGTTAATGACCAGACCGAAGTTCTCGCAGGCGGCGTTGCATCTCCTCTTCGGAGGTGGTGTTCAGGACGCAGTCGTCGGCGAAGAGGAGTTCGTGAACGGTGGTTGTGGATACGTGCGATTGGAAGTTCATCCGCCGTTGATTCAGGAGGTGACCGTCCGTCCTGTAGGCGATGCGGATTCCAGGGCGTTCGTCGCGGTAGGCGTCCATCATCATGGCAGAGAACATAAGACTGAAGAGGGCAGGCGCCAGTACGCATCCCTGCTTCACTCCGTTGGTCACTGCGAATGCCTCTGAGACAGCTTCGTTGTCTGTGACTCGCGCCATCATACCATCGTGCGGCTGACGCACCATCTGAGTGAATCGTTACGGACAACCGAATTTCTGCATGATCTTCCACAGTCCTTCCCGATTCACCGTGTCGAAGACTTTCGTCAGGTCCACGAAGGTAGAGTACAGGTGGGTCCGCATCTCTTGGCACTTCTCCTGAAGCTGACGGGCGGCGAAGATCATATCTGTGGTCCCGCGATGACGGCGGAAGTCGCACTGGCTTTCCGACAGAAGGCCCCGTTCTGAGGTGATTGTTCAGGCTGTTGAGGAGGATACGAGCGAAGATCTTCCCAGTGATGTTCAGCAAGGAGATGCTACGGTGATTGTCGCAGATTTGGCGATTCCCTTTTCGCTTGTATAGGTGCACGATGGTTGCGTCCTTGAAATCTTGCGGGGCTTCGCCTTTACGCCACATCTCCTGGAAGAGCGCAGTGAGGTGATCCATCAGTTGGGGACGTCCGTGCTTGTAGACCGCAGCAGGGATTGCGTCCGATCCAGGTGCTTTCCCGCTGGAGAGCTGCTGCACGGCCCTGATGGTCTCCTGGAAAGATGGCTGGAGGTCGATATCCACGTTGGCCTCCACTTGCCGCAAATGCTCGATGGTGGCGTCAGAGATGGCGGAGGGGCGGTTGAGGACGGCTCGGAAATGCTCGGCCCATCGCTGTAGAATTTGTGTCTTCTCAGTCAGGAGAGTGCTACCGTTGGCGCTGAGGAGAGGGGCAGTGCCCTTCGTAGGCGGACCACAGACAGCTTTGATCGCAGAGAAGAAGTTCTTCCATTCGTTGGGGTCCGCTTACCCTTGGATCTCCTCGGCTTTGCGAGCAGTCCAGGCGTCCTGCAGCTCGCGCAGTCGTTGCTGAAGTTGGCGGCGACTGTGGTAGAAGGCAGCTTTGGTGGCATCAGTGGGGTGATCTTCGTAGGCTTTGTGTAGGCGGTTCTTCTCAACAAGCAGATTTCTGATGGCGACGTCGTTGTCGTCGAACCAGTCCTGGTGTTGGCGGGGAGCGCGACCGAGGACGACGAGTGCCGTTGACTGGACCGTGTCTCGCAGTTGACACCAGCGGTTCTCCACGGAGGCGTTCTCGGCAGCGGCGGCGTCGTCGGCGTCGGCAGCGACTGGAAGGTTGTCTAGCCGTTGAGCTGGCTCTTTGCTGAAATGAAGATGGTGAGCGGGCAAAGACAACAAGGCAACATTCAACTTACCTGGGGGTCGCTTACCTTGTGGTCTCCTGCGAGGCTGTAGGCGAATACGCATCTTCGAGATGACGAGGCGATGGTCGGTCCACCCGTCAGCGCACGCGATCGCCTTTGTCACCAGCACGTCCCGCTGATCTCGCCTCCGGACGAGGGCATAGTTCAGCAGGTGCCACTGACGCGACTGAGGATGTCTCCAGGTGGCCCTCTCTCGCTCCGGCGGACAGAAGAACGTGTTTGTCAGGATGAGGCGGTGTTCTGCGCAGGTGCGGAGCAGCAGCAGACCACTGTCGTTTGAGCCGCGGAGACCGTGGGGACCCAGCACTCCTCTCCAGGCAGTGTGGTCTGTGCCGACGCGTGCGTTGAAGTCACCAAGGACAATCAACTTGTCCGCCTTCGACACAGTCGCCAAGAGGGCGTGCAGGTCCTCGTAGAATTTGTCTCTGACGGCGTCGGGGCTGGTCATCGGCGGAGCATAGGCGCTGATGATGGTGGCGAATTTGCCCCCACCTCGGAGAGGCAGACGGAGGCTTATCAGGCGATCGTTGATGTCCTGCAGCAGACAGGGCAGTCGTCCCACGATGTCGTTCCGGATGGCGAAGGCGACGCCCGCGTCCCGTCACTCTGCCCTGGGTCGACCACTCCAGAAGAAGGTGTAGCCGGCACCCACCTCCTCCAGTTGGCCTTGTTCGGAGAGTCGGGTCTCAGTGAGTGCGGCGATGTCCACGTTGTAGCGCGCCAGTTCTCGTGCCACTAGCGCCGTCCTCTGTTCCGGTCGGTTGCTCCTCGGATTGTCTAAAAGGGAACGAACATTCCAGGCTGCCAGAGTGAGCGGGCTCACCCTGTCAGTCTGGCGACTGCGGCGGCGAAAAGGAGGAGGGGAAGAAGAAGAATAGGCTGGAAGAGGAAGAGAGTGATTGTTGTTGTTGTTTCGGTTTTTGCCGTTTCAACCGTGTTTTTTGTCTGCGGTCACGGCCAGCCTACAGACAGCGTGGTTCCCAGCGATCTTTAGGGCACCTTTTCTAGCCCCCTCCCCCTCGCGGGGGCAGGCAACGCATCCCTGAATAGGGCTGCCCGGTTATCCCAGACGGCTGCCGGACTCCACTATGGGCCACGACTTTTTATTAGTGAGAGAACGACCAGAATTAGCCTGGGACCTTTATGGTGATGGTGATGTGATGGAGTGAAGTAGAAGAGAGCATGCACACCACCAAACGCTATGGGACTTACAGCTAGCTAGAGTGGGCAAACAGACACAGTCATCTGTCAGAGACAGAAGTGAGAGGACACCATTCAAGTGTCAAGCACCGTAACGTCCAGCTATTAGCAGAGAGAGGCATAGGTTGACAGACAGACAGTCGCAGCAGGCATCGAAAGTTTCATATAGCTATTAATAGACAGACTAACATATAGTGGGCAGGCAGCAAGAGCAGCACGCGGCTCGGAACTTCAACAGCCAAAAGGAAGAAACAAAGCAAATTCACTTATCTGAAGAAGAACTTACCTGGTGGCCTCCTGCGATCGTCCAGACAGAGGCTCGTCTCGACGATGTCGACGCGAAGATCCATCCGGCCGGCGCAGACCACAGTACCGCGCGTGCAGGTGCACGCACGGATACCCTCACCTGGTTTAGCCCGCCGGTCGAGACGGTTGCCCGGGATGTGGCCGCTGAGCAGATTCCAGCTACCTGGAGCCACAGGTGAGAGTTGGGTGCCAGCAAATGGACGCTAGGCGTAGCCTCACACACACATACCGCTACCATATGAGAACAGGAAGAATGGCGATTACACCATAGTACTCTTGACCTTGTGGCCGGCCTAATTTGGAATACGGGATTCAGGTGGACTGCAGATATCCGAACACTCCAAGCCAAGCCTTGGGCATTCGCTCCAAGGTCATGGAACTGTTTCGCATATTCCTGCATCCAATGCCAATAGCTAGTTCCTTGCTCCTTATCCACCCATGACGCTGCATCATAATTGTGGAGCACACACGTTGCCGCGGATGCCATAGTCTGCATCGTAGCAACATACGAAATCAGCCTCATGAGGCAGTTCGGAAATTTTACGTACGGAGAACCCCCGATAGCTCCTGGGAGTTCAGGATCACATTATCACAGTCCTGTCATGGACTGCGGTGTTTTGCAGTACGTTCAGTGTGTCAGAACCTCTTCCAGCTTCTACCAAGTTAGGACTGGTATTCGTTGTCTCCACGACGACGACGACGATGCCGACCGTCGCCGCCGCCGCCGCCGCCGCCGCCGCCGCCGCCACCACCACCATATGCGACCGTAAGTTTCGTAATGGCTTTGCCGCCACTTCTTGAAGATACCTGTATCTGAATCCATGCTTTTTCCTTTAACAAACCGTGGTAAAAATACAGTAACCATTTTTCGGAGAAAGTTTTCACATATTTTGCCATGAGAAAGTAATGAAGCAGTTAGTAAACTCAGTCTCAATGGCCCCTCACTCGCGGACATCGTTGCCAAGTTGGAAATCGCCAGGTCAACAGTTTACATCATAATCCATCGCTATAAGAAGTTCGGCCGCATTGACAGGAAGTCTGATGGTGGAAAAATAAGAAAGTTTGCATCCCCATCGTATTTGGGCTGTCCGAGATCGTATTCGTTGCAATCCAGTCCGGAGCATGAGTAAGATTGTTTTGGAGCTTGCAGTGTGAAGCACACGATCTGGAATGCTGTGAAAAAGGACCTGAAGGCTTAGTCAAGGACTAGGATCAAGAAGCATCCCGTTACTCAGGCTGTGAAGGAGAAGAGATTGAAAAGAAGTAAGGAACTCTAAAGCTCCCTCAATAAGAGACCACACACGGTGCCCCACTCCGACAAAAGCTCTTCACGGTCGATTGGGTGTCCAACGAAGGAAGGGGTCGCTACATAAAGACATGATGGTCAACGAGGTACCCGAAAATGCTGAATGAAAGTTTCAGACCAAACACCCTGCGTCAGTTGTGGTCTTTGGTCTGATTGTCCCAGACGGCAAAGTCATGCCCCTATGTTCATCAAGGCCAGGGTCAAAGTGAACACAGACGCGTGCATGGATGTTTATCGGAAGCATTTAAAGCCTAGGATATATTCCAACTACACTCTGGACGAAAATATGGTCCCCCTGCAAGATGGTGCGCCTCCACATGCGTCACGAGAGACACAAAAGTGGCTAGAAGACCACATGCTTTATTTCTGGCCCAGGGATATGTGGTCACCATCTTCACCAGGCTTAAATACCCTCGACTACAGCATTTGGACCTATGTCGAGGAGAACGCCCGCAGCAAGGCTCACAGCAGCTTTGAGGCTCTGAAGGTCTCCATTACTGGAGAGTAGAATAAGATGTCACCGGGGTATATCAGGAAAACATGCGCCAATTTCAGACCGAGAATCAAAGAAGTCATTGGTCCTCATATTGGATAGTTACTTTCTAATATGAATTCTGAGTCTTGTATGTAAAATACGTTTGTTTCTTCAGTTACTTGTTCTTGATCTGGGTCAGGTTATGGTTCGGATCACTCAAATTAGGAAATCGACGGTTGCATACGTTACTACTACCAACACTATTACGTTAGAGCGAGAAGTGAGGATAGACGACGGATCTGGCATTGCATGACGAAGGCGAGCAAAAACTTCAGGCCCCACATTCTCGATCGATTTTCGTCGGAATTCGGAAGAGGCTTGGTGCCGCGATAGAAGACATTAAGGCGAAATCGTCAAAAGACATCGACACGCACGACAACGCCAGCTGCAGTGGTAGGACGTACTTTTGAGTAATGGCAAAAAATCGCGCTTAGCATAGAATGGGCCTAGACGGACACTACAAGAATGGTACTTGAGATCGCGCATCTTGAATAGACATAACCGTTGACTGTGTCAAATCTGATTATTATCAGTTGTGAGAGGGACGTAGGTGGCCGAGTTGCGAACTTCCAGATGCTGAATAGCAGAGATAGTGAAATTTCCCACCAAAAATTGCCAGCTGGTATAAATAATTAGTCTTGGAGGACACGGTTGAAGGCTACAGAGGGAGATGAGTCGGACAAATAAACGCTCACCATTACACTCGCGGACGGTGGTGCGCCAGGGGAGGCCTATGCGGCTGTCATTGTTGAGGCTGAGGTGGGGAATATATCTCATAAGCGCTTTGGTGATCAATTGTTAATGACGTTTGATGGGCAGCAGTGAATGGGCTGTGTTAAAGGCATGTTGTCCCACACGGTCCCCAAAGCTGCATATTTGTTAAATTGTATGAAACTAGCTATTTACGCAACGTTAGTAGCGTTTGCTGTCCGAATTATTGCATTGATGATTTTGTTCTTCAAACAGACCGATCGCAAAGTTCAGTGGAGTAGTCACGGGCACCGGCACAACACACCACTACTAGCTATTACTAATTAGTGCGTTAAGCCATACTACTAATGCCAATGATTATAACAATAATTTTATTGTTCTGGGCCCGGAGGGTACTGTTACTGTTCTCACCTTACCGATCTTGATCAATCTGCTGTTGCTTTCTCGGATACTCCTATTAATTTTACCGACTGTTTTTATTACGGTCGTTACTGCTATTGATACTAAAAGTCCTATTTACTGTAGTTGCACGACTGTCCAAACTAGTATTGTTATCAATATTATCCCAAATTCCTTTACTATGATTTGTGCTGGTGTGGGAGTTAAAACTATGATTACTGCTTATATTGGGACAACAGACACCGAGACTGGCGTCAGCTCGGGAAACGTTTTTGAACATTTTCGCATACTTCCTAACAAATCTTTCTGTCGAGCCGAAAAACATAGCCTGATTCTCAGTTACGTTCTGTTATATTTTCTTGGTAATGCTTCGGGGAAAGGCATGAAAGGGTGTATGACAGGCTAGGACGATAATCGGAATGACATGACATTACTGGATGAACACTTGCTCTTAGCGTCAGGCGTGTTATTTGTATGATCGAAAAAGAGGAAAATATCTTCAGGATTGAAGCGTATAAGTAAACTGTTGACGTGCCTGTTTCATTTATTCATGTTAGGAGTTTAAATGAACTGTCTTGGTAAGCCGACACCGGCAGAATTACCGAATAGACATGTTGGCGCGAATATTTACGTTGTCACGGCAAGCAGACTAAGTGAAGCTCCAGAACTGTTAAATGGGTTTCTCGAGCGTATCCGCTTCGCTTTAATGTTCCTCTTTCAACGACAACATTGGCTCACATACCTTTGGTATAAAATCATGTCGAGTATTTGGAAGACCTGAGTCTCGACGCCGTCAACATCAAGCCGCAGATTATGTGACGGTTGTTCTCACGAAGAGTGCCTATGGAGCCGAGGTCTGGACGACACTTATTACAGAGGAAGCTAGAGCGCTCCCGCACGGGTCTCTGGGTCATTTTAATTTGCGTCGGGGCGGACATCATGCCCGCTGACAGACCTATGCTACATTTCCCACTTATAATAATTAATGCCCTCTCGGCCGATATTTGCAACTATAGAACAGATATTTAAGCATATAGTGACTAAGGGCTAGTAGAAAAACCTTGTTTGTGGATTTCTTAGAGTTAACCGGTTTCTCCTCACAGGTGCATTCATATTTTGTCAAAGGCATCCTGAAGTAACGACGTAAGTAAGCCAGTATAGCACTTGGAACTTTCGCTTAGCGATGTCTAGGGGGTGTTTTGAGGCTTTCTTGTAGGTTCGACAGAACTGACTATTGCGTAGGATGTAAACTTGAACTCGTTCAAGTTGCGACCCTCAAATATAGCCAATATTTGGATAGGCATGTCAATTCTGTACGTATTCGTGGAAAATTCATACTTAACATAGCCGAAAGCTGACTTAAGCGGCCGCTTCGTTAAACATTTCATTTTAAATACTTGTTGGGCAGTTGACAGTAGTTTCATTGTTCTTGTCCGCGAACGACAGAACTTTTAGGGTTATAATAAAAGGGTGGGGATAATAATCCTTTCGAGACCTCATAATTCAAATCTTCGAACGAATTATCAGCTTATCTGAGCATCTGTGAAGAAAAACAACGCGTGTCAGGGAATTTGGCTGAACACTTTATCTGCAAATTATTCTATTTGAGGTTCACTCATCAACAAATTCCACGCACAAATTCCCACTTGCAAGACTCATCGTTTAAAGAAAGTTTGAAATTTTTAAATGCGATTTGTGCAGACCAAAAACTCCATGTATTAATAAGCTATATGTTTTCGCTTGTCATGCACACGCAACCAGTAAAGATGATGCAATCACATTTTGCGTTATGACTAGGGGACGAAACAGCCGTCGCATCTTTCCCTGATGGCATTCTGGAATGCGAAAGTCGAGGATTTCTTCCATCAAAAAGACTTTGTTTATCTTCTTGTGGGCACTGAAACAAATGGATGATTTATCCAAAGAGAACTGCTGCCTCTGTTAGTCGTTTATTTGATCAGCAAAGTTACGTAACATGCTTGTCGAGGACCGGAATATTGCCACTCCTTGTCCTTCTCATGGAAATCCGGTTCAGATTATGCGAAATCGGATAAATTTCCTTCCTGTATATTATCCTGTCCCAAGGACGGTAC